AAAAAAAAAAAAGAAGAGCCCTGTCTTTAAACCTCCACCAGTAAATCAGAAGCTGTAATCAAAACTTTTCAACAATGTGACCGCAGAGACAGGACCCGCTTCACTGAGCAGGCTGTGAAACAGTGCCTGATTCTGTCCCTGAAGAGCTAAAAACATAGTACTGCTGTGGCTTTAAGCCAAAAGTACTGCTGCTCCTCCATAGCCCTGTGTGAGGCTGGAAGTGCTGGCCAAGAGCTCCTCAACTGAGGGGACACCATGGTCTGAAGTCCCACAGACTCTCCTGCTCAGAGCCCTTCAAAGGAGGTGGGGACCATCAACCAAACCTCACACTCAGTTCCCACAAGCACCTTTGAAAAAGCCCCAATTTCAGCAGGAGTTTGGGGATTATAAAGGATCATTATCATCATCATCATCATCCCGGTTTGTTGTTCCTCATGCCAAGCTCACTCAAAAGCCAAAGCATCTCCTTTATTGGCCTGGACAGCAAATGGGAACGTGGGAGAGCAGAGTTCTCCCAGCACCTCAGCCAGAGGTGTCTGTGCTCTCCTGGCAGGCTGGGAGCAATGACCTCATGGGATCTGAAATCCTTGCACTTCTTATCTTTTTGGACATGGAATCCTCTCCCAAACAGAGAACCTACAGAAACTTCAAGGCCAGTGTATCTCAGAGACAGACTAAGCTCTCTAAATACCACACTGATGTATCTACAGTTTAGGGTTTGGACTAGTCACACCTGCTGCAGCACCACTGCCCCAGAACTAATTTATATGTTCACTGTTTTCCTTTTCTCCTTCCCTTTTTCACCCCCACATCCTGGCTTACCTTGTGAATTTTTGGATATCAACACTGGAATTGGGTCAAACTCATCTTCTGTCACTTTTTCAGAGCCCTCAGGAGCATCAAAGCCTGATATCAGGTTAGTATCTTCTGCAGCATAGAAGAGAAAGAGAGTAAAGAAGCAAAGACAGCAGAGAGGCTGGTTAGCATTGCCAGGAAAGGTTAGAACATCTCTATGTTTTCAGAGACAGGGTTTAGAAGTAGGAGTTTCATTTAAAAGGTGAAATAAGTTGGTAAGTCTGGGTAAGAAGGTGGAGAGCCAATTAAATACAGAAGTAGATGGGATAAAACCAAACCAAATGAAGCAAGCCAAGTCACAAGAGCCAGAACAAAATCTGGCCAGTCTGAAGGCTCAGCTGGAGAGTTCAGAGCTGTGGCAGAGGCCTGGGGTTAAACTCCCAAGGACTGAAGGTGTTCTTTGCCATTAGCATGGTCTGAGAGCACAGTCTGGCTCCTGGCTCCCAGCTCTCAAGCACAGGGAGAGGAAAAGGGCTGGGGAAAAAAAGAACACAGAGAAGAAATTCCCATCATCTCTGAGACAAACCCATGAGCATTCACCCACGGCACTAAAACAGCAAGTGAACATGAAGTCAGATTTCCAAGGAGTTTACACACCTGAAAATGTAACCAGATTTAAAGGCCCCTCAAGCAGCTCTGGGAGATAAATCCACTGATTTCAAACCATGTCAGCCACAGCTCCACACTTGGTGGGAGGAACTTTCAACCATCTCCAGAGGAGATGAAACATTTATCCACCTTATCAGGCAATTATGTACCTTCAGAGGCTCCCTCACTCACTGTGCATCACTGTCACTTCAGACACCTAAAACACCTTCCAAAATCTGCTCCTCAATTCCTACGTGAAAAGCCCAGCAAGGACATGCACAAGCTGATGGTTCCTGTTTTCACAAAACAGGAACGTTCCTGTTGGACTCCTACTGGGGAAAAAAAGCTCTTTACCCACAGCTGACAAAGATGTTAACAGGTTTGGGGTTGGCTAATGCAAAAAACCACTTGTGGAACTACACTGTGCTCTGGAGGATCACATCCAGGAAGGACAAACCTCAGATCATAGATTCAGTTAGGCTGGAGAAGACCTCAAGTCCAACCTATGACTGAACACCACATCCTAACCAGACCATGGCACTGAGTGCCATGTCCAGCCCTTCCTTAAAATGTTCCAGGAGAGCAGTGCCAAGAGTCAAACACACAAAGGTGCTTCATCCTAATGGGAAGTCTCATCTTGTCATCACTCTGTCCCTGGAGAGATTTGTTTGTGGCTCTTCCCAACCTACCCAGAAGCCTCTGCAAGCATCCCTTTTCCAGGGCATTTACACCCCCAGCTGCTCCCAGCCCCAGAGGTGCTGCACAAGGTGCTGAAGGAGCACACAGAATCATCGAATCAGCTGGGGTGGAAGGGACCTCCAAGATCATCAAGTCCAACCCTTGATCCACTGCCACTGTGGTTCCCAGCCCATGGCACTGATGCCACATCCAGTCTCTTTTTAAAAACCTCCAGGGATGGAGAATCCACCCCTTCCCTGGGCAGCCCATTCCAATGGCTGAGCACCCTCTCTGCAAAGAAATTCTTCCTAATCTCCAACCTAACCCTCCCCTGGCACAGCTGAAGACCGAGCCCTCTTGTCTTGCTGATGGTTGCCTCGGAAAAGAGCCCAACCCCCAGCTGGCTCCCCCCTCCTGTCAGGGAGTTGCAGAGAGTGAGGAGGTCTCCCCTGAGCCTCCTCTTCTCCAGGCTGAACAGCCCCAGCTCCCTCAGCCTCTCCTCACAGCACTTGTGCTCCAGTCCCTTCCCCAGCCTTGTTGCTCTTCCCTGGACCTGCTCCAGCCCCTCAATGTCCTTCCTGAGCTGAGGGCCCAGAACTGGACACAGCACTCCAGGGGTGGCCTCACCAGTGCTGAGTCCAGGGGAAGAATCACTTCCTTGGACCTGTTGGCCACACTGTTCCTGAGCCAGGCCAGGATCCATTGGCCTTCTTGGCCACCTGGGCACACTGCTGGCTCACGTTCAGCTTCTTGTCAATCCAAAGTGCAGCTCAGCTCTGCACTATCCTGAGGAGAGGGAAAGGCTGGAGAGTGTCCCTGCTTGGGTACAATCCCTCCAAAAGCACTGGAGCTCAGCTCAGTGCCCCATGTCACCAGCAGGAGAAAACCCCTCCCCTCTCACACACAGAGCTCAGGGCTGAACCAGCAAAAGCAAATTTAGGGACCCTGAAGGCTGAGCACAAATTCCAAGGCCAACAAACAGCCCAGTGATAGACAAAGGAAGGATCCTGTGGAATGGCTGGAGCAACAGACCCTACTGGGAGCAGGGCTGCTCTTCCAGCCCTCCTGGTCCCACTGGGAACAGGCAGAGCTGCAGCTCCACAGGCTGATGGTGCCCAGGGACAGCAGCTCCTGCCCCAGGGGGGTTACACATCATCCCCTCCAGGACTGGATAAACAAATCAAGGACTAAGACTGATGCACAGTTAATAACCACACCCAGAGCTAGAGAATCAGGGGTTGAAAACAAGCCATAAATTAGTTCTGGAAGTTATTTTAATAACTTGCCCCCCCCACCCCCTCTCCTGTGCTAACAGAGCCTCATGTTCTCATCAAACATGATCCTTTCCCATCCCAGAGGGAACAGCAGGGCAGCCTGGGAGGGCCTCGCAGGAGCCTGTTAATTCATTTTCTCATTAAGCCACACCAACAACGTTTGGGCTTTGCTGTGTTCCAGGAGGGAGCAGGAACTGTTCCACACACAGCTCAAGCCATTTACACAAAATAAAGTGGCCCAGAAGTGTATTACAGCACTGAGCAATTAGAACAACTGCTTGTTTAACCCAAAAGCTCTGTGGAACACACAAACTCATTCTGAAGTGCCATCAAGTGTAAAAATTGATTACAGACTGTTTTCACAGCAATTCCTCTGAGGACAGATCGTTTCTGTTGCTATAGGGATACTCACCAAAGGAGCTGAGCACAACCCAGCACCAAGGGGCACCCAGAAATCAGCACTGCTGCTCTGGGCCTCTCTTTTCAAGGCAATAAATAGCCCAGAAGTCCAGGCCTTCCCTCCCACCCAGGTATTATCCAATATTCCCTGCAAGCCTGGCTTAGGTGAGTCAGCCCCCAGCCCCTGTCACTGCCCCTGGGGGACACAGGCCCTTCTCAGAGCTGCTCCAGCCCAGGACAGGGATGGGCCAGAGCAGGAGAAGGTCCTGTGCACACTCCACTCCAGCTGACAGCTCCTCACAGCATTCCTGTGCCCCTGCTCCAGCCGAGGAGAGGGCCTGGATTTCAGCTTGGGAAAAAGAAAAGCCATGTGAGCTCTGCCCCAGCTCCAGGGTCCCCCAAGTCTTGTTTACCAAAGGCCAGAGAGCTGAGCTGTGATCACTGCCCAGCACTGCACAGCTCCAGCCCAGCACTGCTGCACTGCCAGGGCTGGCCTGAGCTCCTGGGATCACCACACACACACCCTGCTTCTCCTCTTCCCTCTGCTTTGTGCTCCCAGGACACTGTTCCCTTTCTCAGCTGGACATTGCACCTGGGCTCTCCTGTGTGTCTGCTGGGACACTGCAGTCTGACTCCAGAACTTCTCCTGATATCCTCTGGCAAGGAAAACATTCTCTAGAGCTGGAAGAGCTCAGTCATGTGCCTGGGATGGCAACTCCAAGAAACCAAAAACCCCACCTTTTGATTCAAAACCCTGGGACAGATGATTAACAGGCTCTCTTCCAGATTTAGTCATGCAGCATAAAACCAGGCCTTAAATCCCATGTGGAAAAGCAAAAGCAGAGTGCATTCCCTGAGGAAGGGCTGCACACAGAGCCCACCCTTCATGCCTGCTGGATCCCCTCTGCTGGGGAACTCCCTTCCCTCTTCCATGGGAAATGTCACCTACTTTGACAAACCCTGTCTTTACAGTCAAGCTGAACACTTTATGTTTTTTCCCTTAGTACTTCAGTGTACATTCTAAGTTTGGGAAGAAAACAAAACAATGGCTTGGGGGAAAGAAAAGAAAACACCACCAGAACACGGGTCAGAGCATCTGCCTGTGTAAACCAGTCCCTGCCTGTGCAAACCAGTACAAGCTTTGCTTTACATCAGCTCCAGCCCACACAGCAGGAGAGCTCAGGGCAGAGCAAGGGGCCACTTTACCTTTGTGAGGCTGAGCTGCAAAAGCTACAGGAGCAAACTCATCCAGGAGATCAGCAGCAGGGTTAGAGAGCAGAGAACAGTCAAGCAGAGAGTCTTCCCCAGTGAGAGAGTCTGGATCCAGGTGAGCATCCCAAGGAAGCATTGAACAGGACACAAAGAGTGTTAGGCTCACATTCCCACATTCCCATTCACACACACTTAGAGCAGAGCTTCAATCCGACCCATTTCTTGTGATGGAAAACATTCCCTTCAGTGAGGGCAGAGGGGCCCAACACCTCCAGAAACATTTCCCACCCCCTCTGGGATGCCCTGCCCTCTGAAGCTGAACAGACAAGGAAGTCCCACAGGGACACGTTCAAGGGGGGGCTGTGTAGGGAGGGGAGAGCTGCAAACCAGACACAGACTGCCTGTTTTCAGAGACCTCTGAGAAGAGCTCAAGTCCATCTGCTGTGAAGAGTGGCCTGCTCAAGGCCTGTATGGGGAGAAAGAGGCAGGAACTGGCTGTGGCCATCCTCCCTGGGACAGCAATCAGTCCTAAAGCAGCTCGTGGGAGTGATGCTCCAGCACCTACAGGTCTGTGATGGGGGCTCAGGGAATATGTACCACGGAGCCATGGAATGTCCTGAGTGGGATGGGATCCACAAGGATCATCCAGTCCAACTCCTGGCCATGCACAAATACCCCAACAATCCCACCCCATGCCTGAGGGGACTGTCCAAATGCTCCTGGAGCTCTGGCAGTCTTGGTGCTGTGCCCAAACCCTAGGGAGCCTGTTCAGTGCCCAGCCACCCTCTGGGGGAAGAGCCCTTCCCTGAGATCCAGCCATTCCTCACAGGCAGACCAGTGACATGGACCTTGGAGGAACCACCCAGAACCCCTCACGGGACACAGGGCAGGCCCAGCTCATGCTGGTGGGCAGAGCAGTGAGAGGGAGACACTTCCATGGGCACAGCCAGTGCTCCCTGGCTGCCAGTGCTCCCTGGCTGCCAGCCCCCCCTGGCCCCAGCCCATCCTGCCCCACCAACCTGTTCTGGTGGAGGCGACCGACTCGCTGTGGGACACGAGGCGCTGGGGCAGCGGCGCCTCCAGCCCCGGGATCAGGCTCTCCACTGCCACGTCGGGTTTGCCTTTCCAGGGGGCACAGCAGGGGAGAAGCCAGAGGTTAGTTTGCAAGGACAGGCAGAAGTAGGAGCTGAGGCAGCAGCTGTCTGAAGCCCTCAGTGACCCTGTAATTTGTGTCAGCACAGGAAGCTGGAGTCCAATGTTAATTTAATCAATTTAATCACGAGGGAAAACTGTAACTCATCCATGTTTGCTGGGGGTGAGTCTTTATTTGAGTTTATTTATTTGTTTTAATTTATGCAAGCCCAATTTGAAACACCCAGAGCACAGAACAGCAGGTTAATAACACCTGCCCTGCAGCCAACCAGACCTGTGGCTGGGCAAATATCCACAAGATCCTTGTCCAGGAAAAGGAGAACCCTGACCATGACAGAGTCCCCTTGCAACAGGAGTAACAGGGCACTAAAATACCTGCTTTGGAGCCCTTAGCATGGTCCCAGTTAAGCCTGTAAAAAGCCAAGATGTAGGATCTTTGTTCCCATTTAAGGGGCCAATGGAGCAAGGATTGCACAGCTGACAGGGAGGTGACAAAGTTTTGGAACTTGACATCTCACTGGAAGGCCCAGTCCCCAGTATCCATCTCACCCATCATGTGGAGACAACAGGAGAGATGTTTACAAAGGCTGGATGCAAAGATTTGGTTTATAGAAACCCCAAAGGGAGGGGAGAGCCATGGCAGGTACCTGCCACAGCAGCCACATGCAGTGACTGTCTGGGTGTCCTCAGGGACCAACAGCAAGGCAACGACCACGTTAAATTAAAGGACAAGGATGCACTCAAATGCTAGAAGCAGAAATGGCCTAACTGGTCAACCTAAGAGAGATTAATGACCATTTCTGTTTTCACAGCAGTGTGTGTGTCTGTGATTTGCAGGATCATTATCTAAGAGCATTCAGACAACTGCCAAAAATTGCAAAAGGGAGCAGAAGTTTTACTGTTACAGTGACTCATTTCCTTCCTGTCCATTCCAAGCCACAGGTTGCAACCAGCTGGCCAAGGGACCCCAGCTGGGACCCCAACCCACACCATCAGCTGATGGCAGCCACTGAGCCTGCAATTATTTGGCAAGTAGATGAAAATAGGATTCTGTAACACTCCAGAATCTTAGTCCTGCCTGATGCCTCCTGCATCCAGGCTCACAGCAGCCTAGCATATTATTCCCAGCATTCCCAGGTCTAGGGAATGCTGTCCTTCCTCCTCCTGCTGCTGAAGGTCCATGGAGAGACAGACCAGCTCAGTGCCTGGGCTGTGCTTGAACACAAAGTCTTGACCAGAAGGGGAGGGATTTTTGGCATCTTCCCCTTCAGTCAACAATTAACTTTCTTCTACCAAGAGAACACACAAGGCACAGCTGTGCCACGTTGCTGTGCCAGATCAGTACCCCTGGATTCCAGACACAGACACCAAACCTTCACTCCTCAGGTGTTCACCTCATGGAGAAAAGGCAGATCTGTCTCAGCACAACCCACAAGTTCCTGCATGTGTTTCAGCAGCAGCAGGCGCTGGTTTGGGAGCCTGGGGTGCCTGTGGAGTTACCATGCAGGCCTGGCCAGGCCAGGCCAGGCCCAGGGGAGGCCCTGGGTGTGTGGTTACCATTGCCAGCGTCGGCCGTGCTGCCGAAGGGGTCAGCGAGGGGCAGCAGGTCGGGGAGCAGCAGTGCAGGCTCAGGAGATTTGAGTCCCTCAATCAGTTTTTCTGGGTTAAGCAGGAAAAGGAGCAAGGGAGGCAACAGAGAGAAAAAGCAAAAAACAGAAAAGACAATATTAATGAGGTGCTCAGTCCAGGGCTCACATGGTAGCCTCAGGAGCATCTGAACCACACTGGGTGCAAATGGCTCCAGCACAGGATCCCGGGATGGGATGGGCTGGGAGGGACCTTAAAGCTCATCCAGTCCAGTCCCTGCTATGGGCAGGGACACCTTCCACTAGCCCACAGTGCCCCAACCCGGCCTTGGACACTTCCAGGGATGGGGCAGCCACAGCTTCTCTGGGCAGCCTGTGCCAGGGCCTCTCCACCCTCATTGTAAAAAAATTCTCTCTTTTATCTAATCAAAATCAACCATCCTTCAGTTTAACACCATCATCTCTTGGCCTTTCACAACAGGCCCTGCTGAAAAGTTTGTCCCCCAGTATGAGACACACAGAGGGCAGCTGCTTTCCAGTGGCCAGGTCACCTAAGGCAGGTGAGAACGTCCTCCCCCTCTGGGTGCTGCTCTCCCCAAGGAGCTTAACCCCATACCCAGAACCTTAACACGACCCACTGAAGCCCAAATTTAAACAATTCTCCCCCCTCTCCCCTTCCTATGCTGAGGATTCCTTTGTTAGTCTTCATCTAATGAGGAGAAACAGCAGAGATGACCAGCTCAGGTGTGAGAGCCACAACTCTGCTCAGGAAGGGAACCTCAGAGCCCTTCAGAGCTGGAGCAAAACCAGAGATGGAGCCCCTCCAGCTCCAGCCCTCAGCACCTGCCCTGGGGTCACAGAGCTGCCCAGGCAGTTACTTCATTCTCAGATTTAAATCAGACAGTTGATCTCAGCAGCACAACTCCTGAGGTTCCCATTATCCCTCACACAGAGACACTCAGATCACCTGGGCAAAAAGTTAATCTCAGTTATTCATCTGGTGGATGAGTGATTTCTTAATCACTAACCAGATTTGCAATAACCAGATTAATTACTCAGCTTTCACAAGGGGTGCTGCAGAAAACAAGAGGATAAAGAACAATGTCAGGACTTACTAGAAGTAATCACCTGCAGTAGAACAGCTCTGATAAAATTTGCTCCACATGGACAAATCTGGCCATTTCAACTTGTTGAAATTACTCCCATTTATAATCTAACATTAGAAAGTTACAAAACTGTTACATGTATATTTTAATTTTTGAGTTCAAAGACTGGTGTAATTATTTATTATCCAAAGAAAACATGCTCACAACTGCACAAAAGCACAGGAATCCTGCTCTATAAAAGACTTACCATGCTGAGAACACCAAAGGAAAGCTGAAGTTGCACCGTTATATATATGATAATAATACCCATGGTTTTTATTGCCCTATAAAAATAATAAAATAACCTGGAGGCTTTGGAACTGCTTATTCAAAGCAGGAAAAATTCTACTCCCCATGAAAACCTTCACAAGCCAACACACTAAAGCAACCAGGAGGGGAGGGAAACCTAAAATCAGCCCAAGAGGCAGCTGTTGGATCATGAAAGGCCTGAAAAAGGTCAGGTGAAAGGAAAAGCCTGATGGGAACAGCAGCCTTAATGTGTCTGAACCCCTCCCACCTCTGTGAGGAACACTCCATTTTAAAAGGTGGAGTTGCCAAACAAAGTCCCTCCAAGTGCAGAGGAACCATCCCTGGCTTCTGTGGCACCAAGAGGGGCTTTTCCCTGGGATGAGGGGAGAGGCTTGGGAGCAGGGGCTTGGCAACAGGGAGGTGTTAATGCTGTCCAAGGGGGGCCAGGAAGGGTGGAATGGTCACGGTGTGCTGGGAAAACAACCCGGGAAGGAGCCGGGGGACAAGGGAAAGGAACAGCCCAGCTCAGAGCAGACTCTGCCCAAGGCTGTCAGTGCCCAGCTCCTCCCAGGGCACTGCACCAACCTGCATCTTCAGACCCACACAGCCAGCACTCATTCCTTCCTCATCCCATTCCCAAGGGTCCTGCTCCTGGAATTCTCCCTCCTCCCCTCCCCTCTCAGCAGTGTCCTCCTGTCTCACAGCACAGACTGTCCCTGTGGCACAGTGGCACTGCCCCTGGGCAGGGACTGGAGCTGCCTGGTGAGCTCAGCCACGCTTCTGAACCACACACAAATCACAAGAACAAACATGCTCTTCTCCCTACAGGTTCACCTTCCCTCCTGTCCCCCAGGCCCAGCTGGTTTCAAGCAAAGCTTTAGGCTGTCAGTGGTTCTTTGTCTGATTTTGTTACTTGTCTCACGAGATCTCCTTCCCTGCTTCCTGCACTGCTGGTGCTGAGCTGTCCATGCTGCTTCAGGCAGCCACTGCAGCCCTCAGTGCACAATTAAAAGGAACTTTTATCCCTTTTGAGTGAGGCTGAGGAGTCCAACAAAAAACAAGAAGGTGGCAGGAGAGATGGGAAAGGAGGTAAAGTAACAAAAACCAAGTGCCTCAGCCTATCTTGAGGCCCAGCAGTTCATTCCCTGGTTTCTGGGCTGTGTTGCATCTTGTACTAACCTGTAGGAGTAAGAGATGAAGTAAAGGAACATTTTTGTTAAGTGGTGTGAACTTCACCTTCAACAAGGAGCAAAGGAAAGGTTAGAGAATTCCCAGTGAAATCCATCTGTGTTAATCAGCAGGAATTCCTTCTCCACAGGAGTGAGGGCTGCTCTCCTCAGCACAACATGCTTATAAAGAACACCCTTGCTGCTAAAGCAAGCTTTTCTGAACCCACAGCAGATGCCCAAGCCCAGGAACACCTCGTGCCTCTGCAGTGCCAAACAAGCCCAGCTCCAGCTCTGCTTCCCCACAGCTCCAGCATGGGAGGGATCTCCTGCTCCTTCCCTGGGCACAAACACAGGCAGCTGCAGTTTAACCACAGCCAGATCTGGAAGGAAAACCAATCCCTTGTGACAATGAACTGCAGTTTGGGTCCTGCCACCCAGGGAATTCCCTTTAGTTTCCAAGGGAAAAGCTGCTCCACCTGCACATGGAGTCCTGGCTGAGATGGGGAGAAGCCAGCAGGGACCAGAGTGAGCAAAGAGAGAAAACTGGGATAATTACTCTCGTTCCTGTGACCTGTGCAAAGGCAGCAGTGCCAGTCATATGTGCACAACGTGCCCACCAGCTGCAGAACAGACTCCATGGGCAGAGCCCCAGCACGGGGCACATTCCTGCCTTGGCAGAGATGTGGGTGACAGCCTGGGCAGGGACTGCTCTGGAACATCCCCTCCCTCCTGCCATCCTCACACCCCTTCTGCTGGGGGAACCAGCACTCCTAGGGGGGAAACTAGCACTGCTACTGGGGGGAAAGAAACCAAGAGAGATGTTCTGCCACTACAGCCCCAGTTTCTGGTGACTCCTCAGGCACAACCCCAGGCTGGTTTTAGGAGAGGTCACCATGGCAAAGATGCAGCAAACAGCAATGGAACAAGAAATAAGAGTAACTCCCTCGATGCTGCAGTTTCAGGGCTCATCACAACCAGTTCTGTGCATGGATGAAGCTCAGAGTGGAGGGTGACAGGACAACACCATCTGTATCAATCACCATGCAGGGAAACTCGGGGGTTGGAGTATCACAGGTGCCTCTGCCTCAAATCCAAGAGACGAATGCAGATCATTCCCATGCAGACACACGAACAAGCCCGAGGATAAACAAGGTTAAGACAATGTAACCCCACACAAAGGTGTTTGATCTCATACAGCTCCTGGAGAGCTCCCAGGATGGGCTTTCATCAGACTCCAGCTGGGAAAGGTGAGCTTTAACCTACAACTGTGCTCCCACATGGAGCTGCCTCTTGGAGACATCCTCAGTCAGCCTCCCAAGAACCTGCCAGATGCTTCCCAGGTCACAGGAACCGACCCCGTCCCAGGTGCAGGAGAAGCTGGCCAGGGGTGTTTTCTTTGCTGTCGGATTTTCTGCCGTGCCCATTTCCAGCCCTGCCAGGGCTGTGCAGCCCCTGTGAGGAGCAGGGCTGGGCAAGCAGGGCATTAGCAAGCCTTGAGGTGTCTGAGCTTAGAAGCACACAGGGGGATTAGAAAGTGCCCCATCAACTCTCTCCAGAGGTAAAGCCCCGCCACACACTGCAGCCTTTGGATGAATATTTCACGTTCTTCCCAAGTTCCATGCTCCTCACAGTAAGGAGTGTCAGATTGTTTCCTGTCAGAGCAAGGAGAACTCTCTGCAGACAGAGCAAAGCAAGATCTTACAGCTAAGGGGGTGTGGAGGACCCCCAAATGCCTCATGCTGGTGGCTTCAGAGACTGGAAAATTAAATCACTTCCTCCAGGAATGAAAGCAAGAGCCTTTCCTTTGATTTGTACCAACATAAGAAGGAAATGAAGCCACTGAATTAACTATGGATTCGTATCTTGGAACAAGCAAACATGTTCAAACGCCATGCAGTGGTTGAGAAGCACAGCTTTGGACTATCCACTGAGAAAATGCTGCCCTGTGTCTTCAGATCCCCGTTCTACCACATGCACAGGTCTGACTGAGGGTCACCATCAGTCAGTTTGCACAGATTTTGCATCTGCAACACCACCACTCCAGACTCTCCACTGACATGCTGCAGTTATTGGGGGCCACACACCCCTGAAGCAACAAAGAAAATGCAAAAAGCACTTTAAGAAGGACTAGAGTTAGGAAAAAATATAAATCAAGAGAAGAAGGAGGCAAATGGGCTTTTAGTCAGAGCAGGCTATTAGAGAGAAAGAAGATTCCTGAGAAACTTGCAAGTTAAAAAGGGAAGGGAGGCAAAAATGTGCCCCGAGCTGAGAACACACTGAACAAGATGCACGATCTCCAAGGCAAGGAGGGGCAGCAGCACCACACACAGCAAGGCTGTTACTCACTGCAGGACTGGAGGGAGAGCAAAGGGAAAGACAACTCAAGAGAGGACACAGCAGAGTCCTTTTCTTCGGGTGGCAACTGGGAAAGAAAGACAAGGTTGTAAAACTGCTGCTGGGTGAGCTGTGCTGGGAGCAGGAGGGCAATCACCCTGTGGGCAGGGATCAGG